TGGCAGATATCATCGATTTTTGGCAATTTTGCTGACTGAAAAAAAAAGATTTTAACTAAAATTTTGGATGTTAGGAAGGATTAAAAAATGTTAAAATATAATCAAAAACTATTTTAGTCTTTCCTGTTAATAATAGCATAAGCATGTAGACAATAAAAAATTGTTTTCATCAAGCTTTTTCATCAGGGTATGGTCTTTTTATACATATATATATATATATATATATATATATATATATATATATATATATATATATATATCTGATCTTGCTCTAAACTTTCTGTAACCCCTTGCGTCCTAGTGGCTTCCCGCCTTGCTTGGGGTGAAATGCTTATATATATATATATATATATATATATATATATATATATATATATATATATATATATATATCAAGGTTTGTTTTATATAGATAATGGTTATATTCGTTATAAGGGCAAGTTGTGGGAGAATTTAAATCATCGTTTCTTTTCGTTCTTTTGAAAATCTGCTCTAAATTATAAAATAAAAAATTCTTTAAACTAAGAAATTATCTTATTAGAAAAGCTTTTAATTATTTTAAATATATTATCGAGACTATTGTTTTACGAAAATATTTTTTTTCGATGAATAATGAATTTTTAGAAGAATTGTTATCATTTTTTTCAAATCTTAAGTAAATAATTTATAAAATTTTCATCATTTAAAATTATGTATTAATTTGTGGCGGTCAAGTGATACTGTTATTAAATAAAAACTATATTTACTAATCATAAATGGAAAATCTACCTGCAATTTTGTGACTCCCAGTATTTAAAAAAAAAATGATTTTTTTAGTGTGAGTATAAACGTTTCAATTTTTGTAAATACGGACGTCCTTACACGACATTATCAGAATAGTGGTAAAAAATTATATAAAAAGTGTATACGGCACTATTTTATTAAGATTATTTCCTATATGGATAAATTCCTTAAACATCAGACTGTCAATAAACGTGTCAACACCTTATGAAAACACCCACCTCCGTGTTAAAATGCCCTTTCTACGATATTTTTAATTAAAAATATATAATATTTATTTCAATTCAGATTAATTTAACTTTAAGCCAGATATTTTTTCACAAATAAAGTTTGAAAGAAAAGTATATTTGATTTTAGAAAAATCTTTTAATAAAGAGAATTATATTTGTCTTGACAGATTTGTCAGCAAGAATTTTTCCATTTTGCATATACTCAAATAAAAATAAAGTCCAATCAATTTAAATTCGTTTTGGAATATAGTAAAGTATTTTACTTGTTGGAAGTATTAAATTTAATCAATTGGTTTGGAATTAAAACTAAGCTTCAAGATAGTTTTTCATTTTTTAAAAATAGGTACCTCCACTAATTAGCTGAAAATAGCATTGCATGATGAAAAATGCACCAAACTTAAAAACAAAGTTTGAACGTCAAAATATTTATGTTATTAAGTGGAAAGTTATTTTTTTTATTATTTTATTAAATTTTTTAATACTTTCTTTCACGTTCGAAATTTTGGTTAAAAATCTTGTCTTTTTTTGTGTCAGCGGTTCACCGAAGGTTCACTATGGGTGTTTTAACCTCTTTTTTCCATTAAAAAACACATTGATTTGGTAATTCTTGCAAAAATCAAATAATTGCCGGATTTTAATGAAACGTTCAGGATTTATTCACAAATGAATGAAATTATTTAATTTTTTTTGAAAATCTTTGTGAATATATTTTTTTAATGTTACTTCCCCACTTACTTAATTTTATGAAATTTCAAGAAATTAAATTTTAATTGCAAAACTTGTTTTATTAATTAAAAACAGAACACCATAAAAAATGTAAATCAACAATTTTTTTCAAACTGCTACTCGTTTCCCCCCAAAATCTGCTCCGAATAATAAAACAAAAAATATAATAAAACTATAACACTATTTAATTAGAAAAAGCTTTTAATTCCTTTTATAAATAAGATTTATTAAGTATTATTGTCTTAAGATAAAAAATATGTAATATTGTCTTAAGATAAAAATTTCGATGAATAATGAATTTTAACAAGAATTGCTTTCATTTTTAAAATTTTAATTATAATAATTTATATATAAATCTTTTAAAATTTTGCATTATTTTAATTGCATTAGGTGACATTGTTATTAAGTGAAAACTATATTTATTAATCAAAAATTGAAAAGCTGAATACAAATCACCATGCAGCCAGATTTTTAAAATATTTTTTAATGTGTATAAAAGTGCCCATTTTGAAAGTATGGGCGACCATACACGGCATTATCAGAAAATTTAAAGTCAACATTCCTAAAATTAGATTACGGAGAATATTTTCTAACATTTTAAAAATTACTGGGTACTTAAAAATTATATAAAAAAGGCGCTTACGTCATTTCTTAAATTATGTTTTCACATAAAGTCTCTTTTGAACAACAATAAAGCTGTCATCACCTTTTCATCACTTGTCAACTCTCGTCAAACACGTAAAGAAGGCTATTGTCGGTTAAAAACACAGCTACTGTTTCTTTTAAAAAATGCATTCCTGTATTATTTTAAACTTAAAATAAATGATATTTGTGAGAAATCAAATTAATTATATTTTAAATCAGTTAATATTCCTCAAATAAATTTTCAGAAAAGTATATTTTATTTTTGGAAGATTTTTTAATGCAGAGAACTACATTGCAATGAAAGACGACGAAAAAGGACGCTAGTCAGTTATTTTAGAAAAAAAAAGATCGATTCCAATCAATACAATTTTTGTTTGATATATACCAGAGTATTTTGCTTAATGGAAATAGTAAATTTAATCTTTAGCTTTCAATTAAAGCTAAAATGAAAGCTTCAATTTGACCTATTTAAAAAAGTATTTTGAACTTTAGGTATCGCTCTTATGGGAGATATCTACATATATACCAATGTATATATAAAACAAAAGTTGCTTTTTGCAAAAATAAGAATCAGAATATTTCTAGAAAACTTTTTAGGCAAGCAGTTTTTGTAATTCTAGGTGTCGATATAAAGAGATGGGGTATTAATAGATGAGGTATTAATAATTAATAATTTATAGCAATAAATAAAATTAAATATTCACCTTGTCTGTTACTGTTCAAAATTCTGTGGAAGTTAGTTTCACTCCTCCATAAACTCGAGTGTAAAATTTATTAATTTATTTTCAGAAATCATAATTTCATTAAACGTTAATTTTGACGTAAAAGCAGCTATTTTAAATAAAAACTCATAATATATTTCATAATCAAATCATTCAGTACAATAACATTTTAAACTAGAAAGGATTTAAAAAAAAATTGACAATAAAATAACCAAAAAATACTTTGGTCTTTCCTAATAATAATGGAAACATTTTAACGATAAAAGTTTGTTTTTATCAAGTTTAAGGCCTTTTTCATCATGCTATGACTTTATCTCAGCGAGAATTATTGGAGGTACCTATTCTAAACACGACATAAAAAACAAAATTATCCGCACACCAGAAAATCATTTATTTATATTTATAAAAGATGAGTTGGTATTAAGATATAATAATATGATTTCTCGAATATTCAAGCCGGTAAATGGAAATAAATAAATATACTGTTTAATAAATAAAAACAGAGCATCTACTCAAGTATGGGTAGCCATTAAAAATAAAGTTTAAGCAATGAGTTAAAATATATCGGATAATAAACAAAAAATCTATTCATAAAAATTGTTTACGTTAGGATACCAAACTGAGCATAGATGTATATTTCGAGAATCAGAAAATGTCTGTGTCAAAAAGGACTACCTGCGCAGCTAAAACAACGAATTTTAAAAGCTTGCAATTCAGGAGTGTGTTTTTTGAGTAGCAGCTAAACAGTTTTCAGTACCCAAGTCCTGAAAAATAGCGTTCCAACAATTCCTGGGCCGTAAGACAAAAATCTGTCTGGGATTGCAAAGAAACATTATCCGTAAATACAAGAAAAAACCCCTAAAACTGTAAAAAGATATTATTTCTGATATGTAGAAGACTAGAGTAAATATGTCACGTGGTACATTAATCAGGGTTCCCAAAAGTCATAATCACAAGGATTGATTCGAATTCTCACGCACCTACTTGAAAAAAGATAACGATTTTTGAAACTCGGTTTTATGGTGTGGCTAAAATTGAATTGTTTGGACGGATTCAGAGACAGTGAGTGTAATGGAAAAGAGGAGTAGTCATTAACAAAAGAAACACCATCCCTAGTGTAAAGCACGAGGATGACAATCCTTTGGGAGCGTTTTAGTGGAAATGGGGACGGTTATTTGTTTAAGATCGTTGGAAATAAGAAAACATTTTTTTAAAGGGAAGATTTAAAATATTCTACCAGATAAATTTTGAAAGACAACGTTTCACTATCTAACATACTGGTAATCTTAAATTGTTGAAAACTGACTCAAAGACAAGATCAATGTCTTAGTTTGGTCCTTATTGTGTCCGAACCTTAATTCAATAGAAAGCTTGAGACTATAACATTTTTTAAATGTACTAGTGTTTGATTTTGAAGATGGAACAATATACTAGGAGAAATTTATTTCAGATTATTTACTAATTATAGAAAACATTTATTTAAAGTTATTAACCAAAAAGGCTCGATCCTTACTGGGTACCTCATACTTTCGGTCTGTACCACATTTAAGCTACCCTTAGAGAATCACCAGAGATATGATAAATTGGGGTAACTCAACGTGGTGGAATGGTTAGCAAGTTTGTCTCGATAGATCAGTTACGACTGAATAGTGAGTTCGATTCTCACTGGGTGTCCCTTACTTTCGGCCTTGTGGTACATCTAAGCTAGCTTTGGAAAATCACTGTAGGTATGATAGATTGATAGGAACAGAAACATTGATACATTGGAACAGAGAAAATCTTGATATATAAGAATCGAGAGAGATTGACACAAAAAGAACAGACAGAGAGATGGAAAAGAAGAGACAGGGAGAGAGGGAAAAAAGTAAATAGATTAGAATAAAGAAAAAATACAATTCTATAGGAAGAGATAGATTAACAGGAAGGAGTAGATAGAGAAGTAGATACAGAGAGAGAGAGAGAGAGAGAGAGACAAAGAAATGATAGGAGTAGTGAGAAAGAGGAAGCGGTATAAAAAGATTGATAGATAGGAACAGACTACTGGAAAAAACACAGTTACACACACATGACTATTTATGCTCTTTCTACCCGATCGAGCACTCTAGAGAAAGGGTAATTTTAAAAACAGTAGATTCTGCTGCTATTAACGCATCGCACTTCAATTATGAATTGAGCCCTCTTGGCTACTGGCGTTTGTATACATCTCGTATATAATACGTTCAAATTTCCCTTTCTCTGACGTGCGCCGATAGTTTAGTGATAGGATCTCTGACTAATGCCAAATCGGTCGAGTTTCGATCCCGACTTGAAGCAATATGACGTCTAGCCACACTGATCAGCTCTGATACAGCGAAATAGGCTTGTATTTGGATGATAATATATATATATATATATATATATTGGAATGGTGCAAATTTTTATCATTTTAAACGTAATTTTAGTGGATAATCGTATTTGAATAGACGCTGCGTTTATTCATTAAACAGTATATTTATTTATTTTCGTCTCCCGATCCGAATGTTCGAGAAATCGTATTAAAGAAAAAATTACGTTCTCCTTTCTTGATTTTTTCTTTAATAAGAACATTCAAGTCTGTAGACAAAACTAAATAAATATACTGTTTAATATATAAACGCAGCCTCTATTGAAATACGTGTATCCACTAAAATAAAGTCTAAAATGATATATATATATATATATATATATATATATATATATATATATATATATATATATATATATTTAGGCAGCAATTCTTCATTTTTATATGTTTCATTAAAGACAACAGACAAGTTACTACGATTAAGCTTTTTATTCAATTTTTCTTGTGTACTAACAAATGTTTTTTTTTTCCAATTTAATACTTCCAATAAGCAAAAAACTACACTCTATTTAAAAAAATAAATAATTAAAATCAAATAGAAGGGGTTATTTTTATTGAAAATCGCTGAAACTCACTGATTTTAGCCATGTGTCAGCATAATGTAATTCTCTTTATTAAAAAGTATTTCAAAAATAAAATATAGTTTTCCGAAATTTTGTTTGAGGAATATTAGCAAATTTAAAGTTTAATTAATTGCATTTGAAACAAATATTACTAGAGTTTTAGTTTAAAATATCGCAGAAATGCATTTTTAACAGGAAGGTAAGTGTTTTGTGAGGTTTTGAAAGCTTTAATGTCAGTCTGAAAGAAGCTTTACTGTCAGCCCCAAATTTAACCAATTTTTTTAAGTGGGACATATCTGTAAAAATTACTTTTTTAAAAGTTTTTTTTTAACTACCCAGTAATCATACAAATTTACGAAGATAGTCTTTGTAATCTAATTTTTTATTGGATTTTAGGTGCTTTGAATTTACATTTTAGTATTTATCTTATTTTCTGATTATTTCTCATTATTATTTATGTTCTAATAATGTCGTGTATAGACATCCGTATTTACAAAAATCGGCACGTTCACACACACACACACACACACACACACACACACACACACACACACACAAAAAAATCAAATTACTTTTTAAAATACTGAGAATTGCTGAATTGTAGTAAGCTTTTCCATTTCTGATTAGTAAGTATAGTTTTTACTTAACAATATCACATAGCCCAAATTAATACATCATTTTAAAAGATTTAAAACTTTATAAATTATTCTAATTAAAAAAATCTTTTTGTTAAAATACTAGTGTCCATATTTCTAATTAAAAAAAATGGCTTACTTTTATTGCACTTTTTATTTTACAATTCAGAACAAATTTTCAGTAACTGGGCATTCTGTTTTACAAAAAAGAAATTGATGATTTAAATTCTCCGTGGACTTCTGGGTAGAACTAATATAAACATTAAGGAACCCCAAAAAGAATTTTTCGCAATTTCATAAAATTAAATAAGGGTGGTTGGATGGGGGATGTAAAAAATGTAAAACAAAAATATTTTTACAAAGATTTTTCTAAAATTGGAACATTAAAAAATATTTTTATTCATTTGTAAATAAGTTCTGACAGTTTCATTAAAAATCGACAATTATTTGATTTTTGCAAGTATTCTCAAATCAAAATTTCCCTATACTAATTTATGTTCTCCATCTGACACAAGAAAAACAATACTTTTAACTAAAATTTTGGAGATTAGCAGTAAAAATATAATTTAATAATCAAAAACTCCTTTGGACTTTCCTCTTCTGAATAATAACATAAATATTTTGACGATAAAACATTGTTTTATTAAGTTTGGGTATTTTTTTCATTATGTTTGCTCATTTTCTAGCGAATCTTTAGAGGTACCTATATATATATATATATATATATATATATATATATATATATATATATATATAGATTGAGAGAGAGAGAGAGAGAGAGAGAGAGTAAAAGTTAAGGTAGATATAGATAAATTGATGTGTAATGGTTATTCTATACAATCTATATAATAATACTGCCAATAAATAAATATAGACTTCGTACGCCTAATTATTCGCTATAATTTACGAAAAATATTTTGTTTGTTTTATAGCTTTTTTCTTTAAAAAAACATTAATTATTTTTGAGTTCTAATTACATTTGGTAAAAGTCAATTTGTGAAATATTTTGAACATACCTAAACAGATACGGTCCGCTACTATACAAATATTTCCTATCTGTATGTGGTAGGGGTTGAACCTATCTACCGCAGATGACGAGGTCTTGTCAATCATGTTTTTGCCCTCCTATCACTTTCCTCGTTCTTTAAGCGGTTCCTTTCCCCAGCTCATGTGAAAAATTCTTTTTTATAAAGTTACGATCGTGACTAAAAAGAAAGAAAGAAGGAAGGAAAGAAAGAAAGAAATAACGTGAACAGAAATTAAGAAAGAACGTAACTAAAAAAAAGAAAGAAAAAACATGATTAGAAAGGAAGAAAGAATGCAACTCAAAAGAAAAGATGCAAGAAAGAAAATGACTCACAGCAAAAAAGAACGCGCCACCAGAGAAAGAATGAAAGCAAGAAAGAAAGAAGAGGGAAAGAAAGAAAGAAAAAGAATGAAAGCAAGAAAGAAAGAAGAGGGAAAGAAAGAAAAAAAAAGAAAGAAAGAAGAGGGAAAGAAAGAAAAGAAAAAAGAAAGAAAGAAAGAAGAGGGAAAGAAAGAAAAAGAAGAAAAGAAAGAAAGAAAGAAGAGGGAAAGAAAGAAAGAAAAAAAAAGAAAGAAAGAAAGAAGAGGGAATGAAGGAAAGAAAAAGAAAAAAGAAAGAAAGAAAAAGAAAAAAGAAAGTAAGAAAGAAGAGGGAAAGAAAGAAAGAAAAAGAAAAAAGAAAGAAAGAAAAAAGAGGAAAAGAAAGAAAGAAAAAGAAAAAGAAAGAAAAAAGAGGGAAAGAAAGAAAGAAAAAGAAAAAAGAAAGAAAGAAAGAAGAGATAAACAAAGACAGAAAGAAAGAAGGAAGAGAGAAAGATCGGTACTCAAAATCATTAGGAAAATTTTTTTTTTCTTTCAATCATTCTACTTCTTTTTTTAATTTCCAGTTATGTTCTTTCTTTCTTTCTTTCTTTCTTTCTTTCTTTCTTTCTTTCTTTATTCTTTCTTTCTTTCTTTCTTTCTTTCTTTCTTTCGTATCAAGTTAACTTTTTTCATTTTCGTTACATTTTTCTTTCGAGTTTCCTTTTCATTTTTCTTTCGCGATTTTTTTCTTTTTCTTTTTTTCTTGACATTTGCTCCTTTCTTTTTTGATAGTTTCTGATTTTATATTTCTCATATTCTTTTCTTTTCTTTGTTTTTTCTTTTATTTTTTTGTTTGTTTGTTTGTTTCTTTCTTTTTTCTTTTCTTTCCTCTTTCTTTTCTTTCTTTTTTTTTATTCTTTCTTTCTTTCTTTCTTTCTTTCGTATCAAGTTAACTTTTTTCATTTTCGTTACATTTTTCTTTCGAGTTTCCTTTTCATTTTTCTTTCGCGATTTTTTTCTTTTTCTTTTTTTCTTGACATTTGCTCCTTTCTTTTTTGATAGTTTCTGATTTTATATTTCTAGTCATATTCTTTCTTTCTTTGTTTCTTTCTTTATTTCTTTCTTTGTTTGTTTCTTTGTTTCTTTCTTTATTTCTTTCTTTGTTTCTTTGTTTCTTTCTGTCTTTGTTTGTTTGTTTGTTTCTGTCTTTCTTTCTTTCATTCTTTGTTTCTTTCTGTCTTTCTTTTTTTCTTTCTTTTATTTTACATCCTTTATTTACAGCTTTTCTTCTATTGCGTAAAATAAAATATAATGTCTTTTTCCGATATTAACTTTGAGGAATTGTGAAAGAACAAACGTATATGCCTAGAAAGAACGATAAGTGCAACAAGAAAGAAAGAAAGAAAAAAATTTATAGAAGAAATAAAGAATGTGACGCGAAAAAAGAATGAAAGAAGGAACATGACGAGAAAGAAAAATAACTTAAATAGAAAGAAAAAAAGTAGAAAGAAAGAATGAACGAAAATAGAAAGAAATGTAAAATATGAGTATGTCTAATAAGAGAGTTTGAAAGACAAAACGTGTATAAAATGAAATAAAAAAAGAAAATGAAATGCTGCAAAAGAAAAAAAAACGTGATAAAAAAAAAGAGAATGAAAAAAGAGGAAAAAGAACTTTGGAGGGAGGGAGGGGGTAGAAAAAAAGAAACAAATCTAATAAGAAAGGGAAAGCAAACGGCGAGGAATAATAAATAAATTCGAGAAAATGGAGAATAAACGAAAGAAAAAAAAAGAAAAAAAAAAGGAAGATGAAAACATGAAAGGAAAAAGGAAGAAAATGAATTGATAATTCAGAGTCAAAAAATAATAGAAATAAATAGAAAGGGAAAACAGAATAAAGTTTAAGACAAAAAAAAAAAAGAATATTTGTCGAAGAAATCTACGAAATAATGCGAAACGTTGGAATGATGCAAATTCCACCTGCCTTTGGAATGTCTTCAATGTCTTCTTCACCATTCCTTGAAATATCTTTGGCGCACGGTTCGCTTCCAATCCTTCCAGAAATTATGAAAACATAGTATAGACTACAGCAATTAAATGCCATTTGATTTCATTCGAAGTTGTCCTTTTTCTGATGTGAAAGACCATTGTAAGAATCATTGATCAAACGCATAGACAACGTTAGATTCAAATCCCTTCCATGGTATAAAGTATTGTATTAACTATTTTCTTTCTTTCATAAAATTAGAATTAATCTACCATAAAAATATATTTTGCCCAACAAGTATACACTTATATATAAACATACAGACTTTAGGGTTCTCCACTGGCCCAAAATGAATTCTATTTTTGTCGTAAGATGGCATTGGGAACGTTTTAGTTTAATTTGGGAAAGGTCTCTCTCATCTCTTCTCTTATCCACAGCTATGCGTTAAATAACGGGGTAGTCTAGGATCTCTAGCCATGGTTGCTAACCAGTCTAAGAGAAGAACAATTCTGAGTTCAAAGCCGTATGTAGGCCTGGCGGAGCACATACTATACAGCCATAGAAAGGATCGTACTCGCGATTCCGGTCGATGTCATAGATAGATAGATTTAACTAATAAGGGACACCTTTCATTGTACAAATTCTACTGTAGAATCATTTAGAAAGATAAAGGGACAAATGCAAATTTTGAATGAATTTTGAATATGACATAAAAATTAATGAGAGTTTATTTATTTGAACTTTTGTCTTCACCTTAGTTATTATAGTAACAAAGGTTTCTTCTGTTGTAACCTGTGGACATCTTTGGGTGCCTGTCGTATTTTGGTAACGTTCTTAGACCACCTGGCATGGAAAGCGGGATGAGAACATTCTAACTCCATAGACTGAATAAATAGGTTCGAAATTACGACAGGCATCTGTAGTAGTTCAGACATACAAAGGCTGAAACGTTGTGATAATAACAACTAAAATGAGGACAACTGTTCCAGTAAATCAGGGTATCATAACAAATCTATCTCAAAAATTTAGATCGAAATTTTTAAGAGAGTTTAACTAAAGGAGTTCAAACATTCTGAATCCCTAAGATAAAGAATTATCATGATTATACACTGACCCATTCGTACGAAACTGTTAGTCTAAGTCCTATGCTAAATTCCCGAATCATCCTATCTCATTTGGAAGATTGACATAATACACTTTCCTACTATTATTTATCCATTGTCCGTTTTTTTCAAAAGTCCCTTACTTTGCTTCTATGAAAGACCCAAATTAATACAAGTTTCCCCGCTATTCAAAACTGTATAAATCGAAAAAAGCAATTACTATTAAATTACCTGGTTAAAAAAATTGAGTGTTCCCCAAGCCACGGTTCCTAGAATTTTCTTTCTATGTCAGCCAGCTTTGGGTGGTAGATGTGATACTTTTATATAACACAGCATATCGGTCGGTCCATCCTACAATATTTTGCAGGTGTACAATTCACAAGAAGGAATAACTTTCGGAAGATGGTGACAAATAACTGCCTTCTCAGCAATTCGCGCCATGCAGGAAATTCCATTTTCAACAACTCGTTTAAAATGCCATATATTTTATACGAGGTGATCTTCTTGAAATCTTTCCTTGTCGAGCAAAGAAAATCTCACGGAAATTAACACCAGATGAGTTTGCATCTTTCCATTGGATTGGCTAAAACTTTGTGATAACAAAAACAATAGAAAGACGGATTGAAGTTGTCTGAACTAGTCCTTGGTTGATAATGACTCTTGATAATTATCGAAATTATCGACATTAGGGTCTATTATACAATTGAATGCTTATAAATTCTGGAGAATATCTTAGAATTAACGGGTGTAAGTGATTTTCAATTTTAAGCTTTCTGCCACAACCAAAGCTGAGGGAAAACGGAAAACACTTAGATAAACCGTGATAAGCCACAATAAACCTCATCTAGGAGAAAAAAAAATGAAAGAATCTGTTCAATAAATCAATTCGCGGTTAGCGGATGTGACATAAAATTTGGAAGGCCGGAAATAATACTGAATGAAAGATTCTAACAAAAAGCAAAGACGGCTATGGTAGTACGAAAAAAAAATGTAAAAGAAAGAACGATGACTTTGTTTTTAACGGCTTCTATTCGAATTATGAAAAATTTTCAGGCTGTTAAAAAACAACACCCGCCAAAAATACTGATACGATAAAACCCCGATTTAAATGCATGAAACTCGCTGAATTCGTTAAAATGTGAAACGAAAATAAGAAGGTTGTATTGCGCCAATGTTCCAAGTGAGGAAGATCTACCTGCCTAGAAAATCAGCATATGAAAACGTAGCATTTTATCTTCAATCGAACACTGTAGACACCGGTAGGAAATATATAATTACATCGGCCATACAATCTTAGTAATTGTCGCATTAAGAAAGTTAATATAACCTCAGCAAAAACGATAATTTTAATATTAGCCATTGCCGTATAAGGAAACATTCAAGCGAGCAGCCAGTGTTACTTTCGGTTGATATTTATAAAATCAGGAGAACAGTAGATAGCGATAGGCATTGCATTTAAATTTTGGCAACTTGAAGTTGGTTGGAAAGCATTGAGCCCAAAGCGAGAAGTACGAGAAAAGAAAAAGTTAGAAATTTGCGGCTACATCTAACCAGCTCAACTATAAATTGCTGAGATCTCGACGCCAGTCTAGTACTGAGTTTAAATTCAAAAAGTCTAGGTACCACAGCGAAGAGCGATGTTTATTTCCGCTTCAATGCAGAAAATGTGGCACAAAGCCAAAATGGGAGATGGGAAAAGGACGGTCTCCTGTCTTAATATTAAACTTAGCCAGCCACAAACACTGACCTAAACATACAATATTCCTAACATCAAAACAACACATTCTTACTTACTTTTCTTACTACATCCACCTCATTGTCTCTAGGAAAGTCCTAACTAGTCCGCATATGTAGAATTCATTATCTGTCGGGCGGGGGGAATAAAAACAACAATTTAAAAACTAACCCTAATGAGCGAAGAGCTCCTCTAAACAATTACCATGAAAGTACTTATAAAAAAAAGACACAAGGAAGCAACTGAGAAAGTGACTGGAGCCAAGTCGCCAGATCAGGATGTTAAAAAATCCTCAAGTGATGTGGTTTCTGTTATGCGGTGCAGTTCTTTGTGATTCTGATTCGCCTGTTAATTTAGATATTTCTGAACGAGTTTGGCGCCATCAATGGCATCCATATGAAAGTCTTGATCTGACGAGACTATTTAAGAACATGAATCAAGTTTTTAGATTAAGACTTTGGTTTTCTAGCAATTTCTGGTTTCAGGCGAAACTACCCCTAGTGTAGCCTATTGAATATTCAGTTTCCTTATATCATATACGTAAACTGGTATAACTTACCTATATACCGAAGTATTTGAATCATTTACTAAATACTAATTTCACATGCTGAAGTTTTTTTTTTTTATGGCGGATTCAAGATATTCCTTATCAAAGTTTCTTTTTTGAAAAGGTCTATCTTGAGACTTAATTCTCGGAATACTTAGTAAAGGATTTTGATTTTTTTTTTTTTTGTTCAAGTTCGTTCTCATCCCATCTATGAATACCTATGTCATCAGCATATCACCCCTCATCATCGGTACATTGGACTCGGGAGGGAAAGCAAGAACACTGAAATAGTGAGAAGGAAGAAATAATGAGAAAAAAGAGATCAAGAATATTCGTCTATATCTCTGAGATGAGGTATTGTAACTACACTGGAACTAGAACAATCTACCCCCGGTGGACGACATAAAGGGTACGGTTAGAAATTCCAGTCACCTGAAGAAGGCTGCGGTGTACAACGGCCGAAACGTCGTGAATATTGCAACAAAGATGATAACAATGATCAGGACAACAGTCCAAACAATGTAAATAAAGATCAAGAAATAATGAGAATTAAGTGTAGAGGAAGGACGTGTTGCGCCATTCATGCAAATTGAAAGGACGTAACTTTCAGAATTTTAAATTCAGGGTTTTAGCTAGACCGGAACACCAGCTAAAGATGCCTGTAGTAAATACAGTCTTCTTTCTAAATTTGCCATCAAAAGAGTGTCGGCTGCATAGCATAGGTTGCTAAGCTTACATGCCTCGATAATAAATCTTGATAGGATTCTTAAAAGAGTTTAGAATATATCAAGTGAGAAGGTACATCCTTATCGTAT